TACAAAAAAAAAAAAAAAAACAAGTAATCGTTATCATATATCTTTATCCCAATTATTTGAGAACGGATCTAACAAATTAAAAGAATGATATGCAGAATTTAACATCATTGCCTTGACTAAATTTATGACGTCGAAGTATAACCACCTTGAAGCAACTTCCAAGCAAAGTTTTAAACCCCATAAGAAAAATCAATTGTTCCTCTCCATTTGATTGCTTAGTTCAGCTGTCCGTATCCAGTCTCTTAACAAACGATTTACTTCTTCTGGTAACTCATCATGAGGACAATGACCTGAAAGAGCAATTTAGACAATGGAAAAAAAAAAAAATTCAGTTAAGAAAAAAAACATTAAGCTGCAGCCACTACATGGCGGCAAATCAGTCTATATCACTCAAGCACAAAGTTGGTATAAACCAACAATTATTTTTTTCTTAAAGTTTTGTTATGATAAAAGACATTATTATATTAAACTTTGGTGGCTTGAGCATGCGCCTAGAAGTGGGATGTATGAAATTACTTGATGGGTTAGGTAAGAAAAATATATACCAAAAGTAGCATGGCTAAAAGTTTAAAGAAAATTGTGCATATTTGACTTTAAGGCTTCGTTTGAGACTTTTTTTTTGCTGCTTTTTAAAAAAGTTTTTCAGTATAAAAATTAAAATATTTGTATTAAAAACTAGAAAGATGCTTTAAGAAGCAGCAAGAAAGCGGTTCAAAATAAAGGCTAAATCCGGCATAGCTTTGAATGAGAGTGGTGACTTAATGAAGATGAAGAAATAGCACAACTTAAAATTCAAAACAATGTACCTGCATCTAGTTCTTTAATTGTGGCCAAGCTACAGTACTCTCGGATCATGGAGAGCCGTTTCTTCGATTTCGAGAGTGGATCCCGCACCCCCTGTTTAATAAGCATAATCAAATATTAAAGAAATGACCATCATCATTTAATATTTGGATTTCCAATCTTAAAAAATCTAGGATACCTGTATAAACAAAACTTTTCCCCCGAACCAATCCAACAGATAATTGAGAGGAACCGGTAGTTTGAAGTTGAACACACTCTCAAGAACGGCAATAACTCCAGGATCATATGACTGGAACGGAGATTAAGGATAGCATACATGTTGCGAGAATATGCAAGAGAAAATGCATTTTGAAATTTTAGCATCAAAACATTCTTCCATGTTTATCACTATAGAAAATCAAAGCTCAGGCACAAACATATAACCACAGCCGGTAAGTTCTTTCTAATCATACGGTGTATGCATTATGCCCTTTTTTTGAATGTAAAATGAAGGTTTTAGCTATATTGGTTCATTTTTGCAATCTAGGCACGTCCATATCACTCTATCGGTTAAGGCAAAAGCTTGCACAACACGCATTTTATCCTGAAGCAATGGCAGCTTTTGTTCCTTGACAACATTGATGAACTAAACAGCTACAGGCTCGTAGGCACTTTTCAACGCTATATGTTTGTTTTCTTTGACACCATTTAGTTTCTTATGTACCCAAACTCTCAAAAATTCTCAGCGAGCAAGCAAGTAAAGCACTACCTCAAGGCTCATAGAGGCAAAGTATAACTTTTCCTGATTAATGATGATCGCAATGACGATTGTAGTGAAAATAAGACGACTGCCTCAATGAAAATAGACAGAAATAATATAATATCAAACATCAAACTTTGTTGGTCATGAGTAAAATATATATTAATCGATTCCTTACAGTCGAGAGATGTTTTAATTCTAAAAAAGTATAATCTTTTGGGAGATGTTACGTTATATAAAATAAAATACCAATGTCGTAAATCTACAAAATTATTTTGAATTTAGGATGTTTTAATCATACAACAAACTTCAAATCGCCTTAAGGTAAAAATTATTTGACATATGTCAACGGTAAAATGATATATTGAACATTGTATTGCTTAATGAAGCCATACCTACTTATAAATTTCTGTGCTATAGGAGACTTCAAAACTTTGATAATTGTCCTAGAGGCTGCGGGAAAACTGAAGACAATGAGCATATTATTTCTGGTTGTAACAAACTGTTAGAAGTGGTGGATATTTTAAATTCATGGGGTTTTGGAATTCCGATATTTGTTTCTCTAGAAGAGTGCTTAAAGTGGCTGAAGGTTCAAAATTCTTGGGTTAAAAGTCTTTATTGCAATACTGTGTTTCATTTCTGGAAATCTAGAAATCTTTTTGTTCACGAAGGGAAATGTTCCAGCCCGTTGTATATAGCTTCAAATGCAGTGTGCTTTACTGCTATGCACAGGAATTCTTTTTGTTCTTTCTCGGGCATTGAGGGTATCAACCAACCATCCAGGTTGCTCAATAATTGGTATCCTCCTCCGTCTGATTGGATCAAAGTAAATATTGATGCAGCTGTCCATAATTCATTCATATAAAGCCGGTGTAGGTGGGGTCTTTAGAGATCATTTGGGGAGATTTTTTACGGCATTCGGTAAATAGTTTGTGCACTGGGATTCCGGTGCAATGGAGCTTCATTCTATTCTTTCTTTGAAAGAATTTCTAAGCAATTGGGTGAAGGATTACAAAGGAGTGATTATTGAAGGTGACAACAAAAATGTTATAAATTTCATCAAGAACAAGGTGGACAAAGGAGGTACCGATAGTATTGATCTCTCTTTTCTTAAAGATTTAAATTTTGTTTTTTTTAATTCTGTGAATAGAGGAAGCAATAAGTTAGCAAATCTCTGTGCTAACTATGCTTGTTTTAGCTCTTTTGTTTGGAAAGATTTGGTTAGCTATAATGTTCCGGATTCCTTCATTAATTTGCTTATGAAGGAATCAAATGGTACTAGGTTGTAACTTTTTTTTCTTTAATATAGCATTTTAATGCTTTCTTCAAAAAAAAAAAAAAAAAAAAAAAGAAGATTGTATTGCTTTTTTTTTTTTGGTTCTTTTAGCTCCAAGGATGTGCAAGTCAACAATGATCGGTAAAGTCACCAAGCAATAATCATAAAAACTTGATGTTCCTTTAATTTCAAAATCAAACTAAGGAGCCAAATTTAAACATTTTGCTTGTATTTGAATTGAAAATAAGGGCGAGCTGTTGGGATGTGAAATCACACAATAAAAAACAAACCAGAAATAAAAATTAGCAAAAAAGAACATTAGTATTTATCATTGAAAAGTCTGAAATCTGAAAAAGAAAAAAGAAATCACAGAGTCACATTGCACCAAGAAATTCATAATGAAAATGGGAGAAATTGTACCATTTACTCACACTCTCTTATTGTTTTTTTTCATATCACACAATTATTTGATCAAAATTGATAAGATATGTAGTATGATGCACCAACACTTCTCCTCAAATAGACGTGCAGTGTCCGACACGACATGCATTTGACACTCCTCTGATATATGTTGGACACGTCGAAAATGTGTCAGATTAAAAAATATTAAATATAAATTAGACATGTGTGTCCGACACGCATGTCTTAAATATTTTATGAATACTTTTAAATATAATTTCTTGTATTTTTAAACTTTTATTTATTTAACATATAAAAACTAAATATCTTATTTCCTATCCTCAACGTCAAATCAATATCCTGCACGTAATACTCATTCATCGAATATTCTCATTTTCATTTCTCTTTGGCAGATTACGATTTTGGTTTCACAACAATGTCCGATGTCATCTAAACATCGACATCTGACGTTGTTCCAACATCAACATTTCAAAAATATCTCCACATCAAAGTCTGACACTATCTTCTCATTTATGTTTGACGCTAGCAATTTCGACACATACAACTTGACAGCTCATCTTTATCTGACACCTTCTTAATATCGACAGCCAATGCCCTCTCAATATCGATGACAGACTCCCTCTTGATATTGATGCCCGTACTCTTGATGTTGATGCCTAATACTTACTGCATAACATTAATGCCCGATACACAGCAATGATGCCCGACTCTCAACATTCTAATATTAATCATTTTAAGCACAACATCTTATTAAACAACTTACTATTTCTAAATTATTATTAAAATTATACTTTTTAAAATTTTAAACACTATTTTTAAAATATTAAGATATAATATCGTATCCATGTCCTATATTTTCAATAATTGACGTGTCCTGTGTCCATGTCGCCGTGACCGTGTCTATGCATCATAGGATACACACTTAAACACATCCAACAGCGCAACCCTTTAAGTGAAATAAGAAGAAAAAAAAAAGCTCAGCTTGATTCATAGCCCTGCGGCACTAGGGGTGGTGCCGCAGCTCTCCACATTCAATCTCCAACTTGAACCTAAAGGACTACAATGCTTCCAGCATACATTGCCACGGTGTTGTGTGAGTGTACGGATAATAAAAAAAAATAGACTTTTCCTCCAACCCCTAAGCAGGGAGTGCGCTGCCCCTCTCTATAAACCCAAGCGAGCTCCTCGTCAAGCTCAACCGACACAATTAATGTATGAATTGACAATACAACCTGATTGATTGACACAATCAAATTCCACACAGAACTAACACGAATAAAATGAAACATTTCAACAATCTACAAAGTCTTAAATCTTAATTAGTTTTAAAGACTCATCTCTAATTTTAATTCATTACTTGAAGACTAAGGACAGACATTTAACTAATATACATTGATCTGAAGTTCAAAATTTTTTTTATTGAAACAGTTAATAGTTCAATTGGTAAGTGTAAAGAACAAAAGTGTACACCATGTCCTTTATTGCTGCTTTTCAGTTCATGCATGGTAACAATGGTAAAAGAGTAAAGTATCCTATTAATTTTTTAATTTGTATAATGATAGCAAAATACTTCAATTCAGATACAGTGTTACAAATAATAGTCATAAACTTTTCTTTAGAAGGGCGACTTTGAAGGTTTAATTATAAACAAACAAAGACAAGCATGAATATTCACACTGGTACTACCATATCTCTACCACTTACGAAAACTACAAAATATTATGAGAAATAATTGAAAATCACACTAATCACTGCGATATGCCAGGGGGCCCACAACAAGGCCGGAGGAACTATTATTCATTATGTAAGAAATCAAGGGGGAGCTATTTAGAGAGATTTTTATTGTGGAACGTTTTAATTTAGGAAGGTTTTAATATTTTAGGAATGTTTTAATTATGTATTAGGGCTATTTAAGGAGTTTTGTCTAGGGTTTTCATGTTATGTATGCTGAGTTTATTTTCCTTGTTGGTGTGAGTTTACTAACGGTGAATAGGATTTGTGGGAGAGCCGATCTACCTCGTAAATATTAGATCAATTGTATCATTAGTTACAAGTTGGAGTAACAAAAAATCAGCCTCTATAATTTTGTTCCTGCAATTCTTCATTACTATTTTACTATTTTTGCTTCCAAGACAAATTAAATTGGTATCAAAGCCAGATTTTGGAGAGATGGAAGCAAAGAAGGTGGATCCGTTGGAAGACAAAGTGGAGCAAATCAAATCTCAAATGAAGGAGAAGTTCCTAATCATCGAAAGAAGGTTTTTAGCCACAGAGAATCAGATGGAGAGCTAATTTGGAGGGTTGAAGGAGATGACGAGCAAGCTCATGGAGATGCAATCCAAAACCACCGACAGTTCCGATTGCTAACCATTACCAAGAATTGACCAGAATTCCCTTGGCCTAATCAAGGGAAAGGAGATCGGACAGGAGGAGTTCGATAAGAAGAGTTTCTATCATCAAGAGCCATCCTAGGGCTTCGGTAAGGGGTGGATCAGGGTTTCCAGATAGGAGGACAACAAGGATGGAATTTTGTGGTGAGGCTGACCACTATGGGAGGTATTTCAAGAAAAGAGAGTGGGCAACAAGAAATGGAGGGGGTCGGGCTGAGCCATGGGGTTAGAATCATGCAAGGAGGATGGGGGAAAGATAGGATTCCCAACCTATATACACGGGGAAACATGAAGGGACCACGACAACCGCTACACTGAAGGAAGAAGCTATTACAGTGGTCAAAGATGAAGATCCTAGGGTGAGAAAGTTGAAGATGCGAATGATTGTGGAGAAGAAGAGTGAGAGTTCAATAAGTGAAACACATATTCCTTCAAAGGATAAACTGAATGACAAGGAGAAAGATGTGAATGAAGAAGGCAAGGAAATAAACTTGCAAAGCCAAGCTGACGGTGTTAATCAAAATCCAAGTATTTTGCAAAGTGATTCTACCAAGACATCCACATCCTAAGAACATATGTTTTCATAATCCAAAAATGAAGATGGGAAAGACACAACTAAGTCAAAATCTAAGAATGAAAAAAAAAAAAATAAGTGAAAGAACCTTTGGTTTCTATTGATATGGGTATCTCTGAAGATGAAAATGTTGAGGCCAAAACATAAGACTCAGCTAATATAGAGTTATCAAAGGACAAAGTTGACATCGAATTGATTAAGCCGAAAAATTCAACGGATGAAATTCAAGTGGAAAGAGTTTCTCTACATATTCAAATCTTGGAGTATCGGCTTGTGATCTTAGAAGGAAACAATGAGATTATAGACAAGAAGGATCTAGCATATCATGATATGGAAGAACTGCATTGTCCATTCTGACGAGGAAAACTAGAAGATGAAAATGATATAAATTTCATCAACAATCAATTGATTTTTCGAACAATAAAATTAAAACCTTAAAAAAACAAATCCAAGTAACAAAACAGGAGCTTGAGGAGCATTACAAAGTAGTAAACATTGAGATTGATAGTTTCATCTCGAAGTGGTTTTTGCTTGAATTGACTGAAAAGAATTTATTTCTCTCCCAAGAATGTAGAAAGTACATGGAGAAATTGAAGCATGCAGAAAATTTCTTTTTTGATCTCAAACAGGAATGAGCCACTCAGGAGAGAGGAAGTTAATTGCACTGTCGGACCGGAATGTGAAACTTTTGGAAGAGATTCATGTGATGATGAAAGCATACGACACAAAGAAGATTTGTGAGCCATACGATGCCAATATCTGTGAGATTTCATATGATTGCTATGATAATATTTTGCAAAAAAAATTGCAGAGCTGCATGCTATTGTTTTAGTTACCAAGGGTGAACTCCATTTTCAACTTGAGAAACCAACTTCTTTCACACTTTGAGACCAACTTGCATTGATATTGGTGGAGCTTAGAGTACAAAACAAAGTGTTTAAGCAAGAATCTGTTTTGAGAAATCAAGAAATTTTTAACCTCCAAAGAAAAAAATCTTAAAGTAATAGAGATAAATAAGTAGTTGCAGAAGGATATTAATGATGGCAAGCAGATGGAGGAAATTCTAAATGTAGGATTGGAGAGAATGTGCGGTAGATTATCAGATTTACAAAAAGCTTGTCTTATATCTCAGTGAAATCTAAAAGTTGTTCAAGGAAAATGAATTGTTGTTAAATAAATTGTATGATTTAAGTGAGAAAAATGAAGTGTGTGAAGAGGAAAATAATGATATTCTTGAAGAAGTTATTGCTCAGGAGCTCCTCTCATTAATTTTGAGGAGTTGCATTACAGAAAAATCTTCTGATATGCAATGGTTAATTAATGAAGTGAACTATTTTTATAGGATCACAAATGATCTAGGCTAGGAGAACAGAGTGATTAATGAAAGCATGAGAGCTCTTGAAGCTGAAAGCATGCATCTTAAGGAGGAGTGTTAAACCCACATAGTGCTTTTTGAAAATAAAATCCAAAAAGCAAAAAATTCCATTAAAAAATCAACATAGAAATAGAGATGGGCGGGAAACTTTTAGAGCAGAGATACATGGAGCTGTCAAGTTCAAGCAAGTTTCAAGGCATCCAAAACTAAGAACTTCCTCTAGCTCTTGATGATTGTATGCAGGTGATCAATAGGACCAAGTTGGTTAGAAATGGATTAGAGAAGAACTGGTTTTCTTCATTAAAGAAGAAAATTTCTGCAAAGATTATGAGATTTTGTGCTTTTGAAAACCCAATCAAATATTAGATGAGAAATTTTATGAATTGCATGGAGTGGAAGCACCTAGAACCCGGGAAACCTACTTGGCATCTGAACTCTAGGTATCAATTTACGACTGCATATACAAAAAAAAAAAAACAGCTGCAGAGTTCCTACATGACCTTCATGTTTCATCATTCATGGAATTGATATTTAAGGGTAAGTTCTTTGAGTTGATGTAGATACTTAAGGGCTTTGGGACAAGTGATTTTGTGCAAAAGAAGTTTCCAGTTGAAGAAATTCCTAGCAAAAATGTTCAAGGAGAAGATTTAAAAGAAAAAGTTGAAGTGCTTCGAAAAGAAAGGAAGGGCCTGAAGGTAGAAATGAATGCTTATGCTCCCTTCTTGCTTCTTTGAAAAATGAGATTGGTCTCTAGAGGAACGCACCTTTTCATTAAAAAATCTTCACATTCTAAACAATCAGAGAAAATAGTCTAAAAATTTCAGTCAAGTGCAAGGCAAGCATCACGGCTCAAGAAGTAGAGTATCTCTCGGAGCTAAAAAAGTTGCGTGCAAAGGTTAAGGTGCTTCAGAAAGCAGTGGTTGATGCTGAAGGACATCTCGAGCAATGAGAAGTTTTTTCTTATACAAAGATGAATGATGAAACAAGAAGAGTCAAAGCATGGAAGTCAAATAGAAGCATAAAATCGATCTAATAAAAAGTGAAGGCTATACAAGGATTTTAAACTATTGAAAGATGACATATTCTCTTGAGTGAAGTACGAGCAAATAATGAATGATATAGAACTTGATCATGAGCTAAGTGGCTCTCGACATGAAGAAGATTTTGTTGTTGAAAAAGAAGATCAGGAGAGTTCCCATCCTTCCCCCTTCAGGACAAGTTGCGCTTGGGGGGAAGGGGGAGTATTGATATGCTAGGGGGCTCACAGCTAGGCATAGGGAGCTATTATTCATTATGTAAGGAATCAAGGGGATGCTGTTTAAGAAGATTTTTATAGTGGAAGGTTTTAATTTTGGATGGTTTTAATATTTTATGAAGGTTTTTATTGTGGAAGGTTTCAATTGTGGAAGGATTTAATATTTTAAGAAGGTTTTAATTGTAGAAGGTTTTACTATTTTTGGAAGTTTTAATTGTGTGTTAGGGCTATTTCATGAGGAGTTTTGTCTAGGGTTTTCATGTTTTGTATGCCAAGTTTATTTTCTTGTTGGTGTGAGTTTCCTAGCGGTGGCAAGAGTTTGTGGGAGAGCTGATCTACCTCTCGAATAATGATTAATTATATCTTTCATTATTAGTTGAAGGTGTAACAAAAAATCAGCACCTATATTTGTGTTCCTGCATTTCTTCTCTATCTTGCTGCATTTTCTTCCAAGACGCATCACACTGTTTCTGGTGCAGAATAGAAAACAGAACTACCATAGTATAAGTAAATGGTTATATATCAGGTAAGCTCAAATAATAAGTGCAATAAAAAATGTTGTACTTTGTATGAGTAAGGATACAGCTCTTAGTATTTCGTCGACAAGCCAATCATCAGCACGTTCAGGATTCTGTAGCAATAGAATGCCAATGTCATTGAAACATTTGGCACAAGCTGAGCCAACTTATTCTAAGAAAAATAAATCAAATGCTTCTACACCAACATACAGTTGGATAGCACTTCTTGAGAATATCTGTAGCCCTTAACCTCAAATAGAGTAGAAGAAGACGACTACCCATCCATGCAAATCCAGATGAGGCTCTCCGCTGAGGAAAAAGAAAAAACGGGGAACATCTACATTACTTATGTTTTAATTGACAATGCCCTTCTGAACATTACCTCAAAAGTGAAAAGTGTTCAACATGAATCCATCATAACGAAAAGAATTAAAAAAATTATCATATTGATAAAAAAATGAACACTTCACAAAATAAATTATATAAATCACTATTACATTTACATAACAGTTATTTAATTTTTTGAAGGAAACTTAAAATTTATTTCCATGAGATTGATCCAACCGTAAAGATGTAGAGTTTAAATTTGATCCTACTTCTAATAATAACAGATTTTCTCATACAAACTAAGAGAGTAAAGACATCATGAATAAAAATAAACTTTTCATCCTTAATGATGGTGGTCAAATAAAAAGCAGTCAACAAATAAAGATATGACTCCATAAGTTAGCTTTCAAAGGATGTTCCAGAATAAATTCATCAATTGAAGAGCATAAGATTCTTAGATAACGATCCCAAAAAACAGAGCTATTATATGAAGATTTGCCAGACACATGCCATCTGGGATGCAGATTGGCCTTCGTAAACTCATGTTTATTGCAACAACATGGAATAATTAAAATTCTGCAAGAAGTTTGGGGTAATGTATGTCATTTCCTGAACAATACAAGAACGTCAAGGAGACCATCACTTTCCACGCATAAGCATGCAGAACTAGAAACATTTTTGGGGATAAAAATGTTGACCATTTTTTAGTAGGAATGCATAGCCGCATGAGGGTAGTGTGGAATCAAAAGTTACCAATTCACTTTATGCATGATATTAAAATGCACTTTATTTCTTTTAAACTTATCAGCATGACTTTCATATTTTGAAAGATTCAACTTCTCAAATTTCACCACCCAATCAACTAGCTCCTAGAATATGGTGATAGAGGCTTTGAACGGGTAATACTCTTATTGCCCATATTATCGCTATCCACTAGAAGGATCAATGGAATTAGACCCATGATGTAGTTGGTAGACTTGCATGAGTAGCGGTTTATCATTATGTCATACCATTTAGACCACCCTGACATCCATGGTTTCTTTTTTTTCTTCTTGCATTCGGACCTCCAAGCAGCATCTTTACTAGTTTTTTGGTTCATTATATGGGATGAAAAGTTCCTCAACTGGTGCACTAAAGTTGAAATTGACCTTTCTGAGAGCGTAGAGCTAGTTGGTGATCATAACCCTTGTGTGACACCAAAATTTTCATAAGGTACGACAAAAACATTGCACCCAAAAATTATGCCCCACTTTTTACACATCAAAATTTGTACATTATTTTTATTTCATTTTATACTTCATTTCGATCACCACAATTATTGAAGCATATAGAAATAATTTACCTCAAATTATGCGCAAAATCATTTTTTTCTAAGTTTCCATTTTAACGTTTACTGTAGCTGTAACTATTGTACTTGTATGCTACAGTAATTTCGGTTTTCCCAAAACGAGCTGAGACAGTGGCTATGGTGGTGATGAATTCCAACGCAACATTAAAATTTAATACAGAAATATATAAGCATATATTACCTATAACACTAAGGCTTGCCCTCTTATCTCCATAAGCCACCTAACTAAAAGCCTGTAAGGGATGGAAAAAGTTGAAGGTCGTCTGAAGAGTTTTGTACCGTAGAGGCGGCACCGTAGCATCAGGAGCAAAGAGGAAGGTAAGTTCTGTAGTAACAACTGTAGCAGCGGTATTGTAGCAATAGTAGAAAAGAAAAAAAAAAAAGAAAGAAAATAGAGATAAAAAGCTGTAACTGAAGGAGAAAAATAAGGGAAATGAAAGAAGATATTTAGGAGAAGAAGAGTAAGAAGAAAAAGAAATAATTCTCATTGATCTCAACCATAAAGATTAGTCGCCAATGTACAAGGCATAAATGAGTATTTTGGCAAATACCTCTAATTGTGATACGTTTCATCAAAATGAACACAATTATGAAATGATGGATAAATGTTCAAATGCTAAAATAGAGAAAAATGAAAATAATGATGATGAAATTCAAAGGATCATTGAAAAGTCCTATCATATGAATTAGACGGGTTGACTTTGATGACCTGCACAAGATAAGGTGATGCTAGATGCAGAGAAGCCAGAATAAACCATCCCTTATTAAGAAATTGAAAAAGGTATTTCAAACTCCAAATATTGAGAGTTTAGAATGGTCAAGCCTTTATCTGAAAAATAGGCAGGAATTCTTGACTATTATTATTATGAGTTGGAACTGTCCAATCCATATCAAAGGGATGATATCACAAACAGGCTTGAGCCTATGAGCATAATACGACATTAAAAATAGATATGACATGATAGTAACAATGAATACGAAAATGAAAATAAGTAATTTACAGATAGTCTCACACAACTAATAATTCAAGTATAGCATAACATATATTGCAATGAGCTCCTTATGCATATGTTTCAGCACAAATGATCAGTATAGCCTTTCAACATCTTTTCTTTGTATAATAGCTACATATTTGTCAAAAAGTAAGCATAAAATTTATCCAAAATTTTACCATATTTTCTTACAAATGAAAAATGTCCAATTTATTTACTTAAATTATATTTTTAATGTTGAAAATTTTGATATATATAAGTATATCTAAAGGATATATATATATATATATATATAATTAAGATTTAATTAATTATATAAATTTTAAAATAAAAATTGTGAGGGTAGGAATTTGAAAGAAGAAGGAATTGAGTGGATTGAAACTTTAGAAAAGTCCTTTAATTTATAGATTTGAGGTTGATCTTACACTACGATCAGGCGAATGGAAATCTTCTGGATGACTGATCGGTAAAAGAGAGTTAAATCGTACAGTATGAACAATATCATACTGTACGATATTAAGAGATTGCATCCGTCCCGAAGAGTTACTGCAAGATTTTTAACTAAATAGATCGTACAGTACGAACAAGTATTCATACAATACGAAGTGAAATTATTATCGTACCGACCAAAGACTATTGATATGTGTATCGTACAGTATGAAAGTGAATTGTACAATATGATGTGAACTATTTTTTTTTTAATTAAAAAAAAAAATTGTTAGATGGAGTGAAGAGGGTGTGATAATCAAGAAAAAACAAAAAACAACAACACACATAGAATAAATCACAAATCAAACACATTCAGAGTGACACATATGAATAGTTGATTTCAAATGATAGAATAATTTGTAGTCATCCTAAATCAAACATGAATGTCTATAAAAACTAGTCTAGTACTCAAGGTGTTAAAGGTATCATAGCTAGAGGTTTAGTAAAGATGTCTGCTAATTAGTCTCCAGTAGCTATATGATGCAATTATATATCTCTTTTCACTACATGATCTCTTATAAAGTAATGCCTAATTTATATATGTTTTCTGTGGGAGAGTTGAATTGGATTTTTAGATATACAAATGACATTAGTGTTGTCACATAATATAGGAATTGTGCCTACTAGTAGTCCAAGATATAAGATTTATTACTTTAGCAATAAGACTTGAGCAACATAGCTTCTTACATCAATATATTCAGCCTCAGCGAGGGATACGACTACCGAATTTTGCTTTCTATTGGATCATGAAACTAATGATTTGCCAATAAACTAACAGGTTCCTGATGTACTTTTCCTATCTACCCTATATCCTCTAAAGTCAAAATCTGAATATCATATGATCTCAAAGGATGAGCTATGTCTAGGGTAACAGATACCTAAGTTCAGGGTGCTTAATAGATATCTAAGGACTCTCTTAACAACATTTAGATGAGATTCTTTTGAATCAGCCTGAAATCTAGCACAGAGATTTACACTAAATATTATATCAGGTCTATTGACAATCAAATAGAGAAGTGATCCAATTATCCCTCTATATTTTCTGATCTACAGAATTCCCCCTTGGGTCCTTATCTAACTGAATGATAGACCTCATGGGAGTGTTTATTCCCTTAGCATTATCTATTTCATATTTCTTAAGGATGTCCTTGATGTATTTAGATTAGTTAATGAAGGTTCTGTTATCCCTCTGCTTCACACTAAATCCAAGAAAATAATTTAGCTCTCTCATCATGTTTATTTTAAACTCTTTACTTATTATTTTTGAAAATTCATCGCATAAATTTTTATCTAAAGATCCAAATAATATATCATCAACATAAATTTGAACAATGAGTAGGTCTTCTCCTGCTTTCTTGATAAATAGGGTGATGTTTATACTACCCTTAACAAATGCTCTATCTAAGAGAAATGTGTTTAGCCTTTTATACCAAGCTCTAGGTGCCTATTTTAATCTATAAAAAATATTTTTTTAACTTGAACACATGATTACGAAATTGTGAATTTTCAAAACCTGGGGTTGCTCAACATACACATCTTCTTTAATCACCTCATTTTATAAGGCACTCTTAACATTCATTTGATACAATTTAAATTCCCTAAAATAAGTAAAAGCTAATAGCACTCTGATGGCTTCTAATTTAGCAACAATGAAAAAGGTTTTCTCAAAATATATTCCTTCTATCTGATTGTACCCGTCAACAACTAATCTGGCCTTATATCTATTATTATTCCAGAGTCATTCATTTTATTTTTGAAAAATCACTTTGTTCCAACTACACTATGGTCCTTAGGTCTTTTGACTAATTCTCATACATAATTTCTAACAAATTGATTTAAGTATTCTTGCATTGGTAGGATTCATAATTCATCGGATAAGGCTTGATTTATATTAGTTGGTTCAATCATAGAGATAACTGCAGAATGGCTAACTTTTTTTCCTAAGTCCATGCCTAGTTCTAGCACCCTCAGATAGATCTCATAATATCAGTTCTTTACGATGACTAGATGAGTATCTATTCTCTAGGCAGGGTTTCCTAAGGTTCTACTCTATCTCCTAGGTTAATAGATTCTACCCCTTGAATTACCTCTACTTATTATTCTTCTGGTTTAGATTCAGAGGTCCTATCTAATTCATCAAAAACAATATATGTAGACTCTTCTACTATCAAGGTTCTCTTATTGAAGATTCTATAGGCCATACAAAATGATAAATAATCTAAGAAGTCTCTTTGAAATTGTTTTGAATGAGTGCAATTGAGATAAATTTATAAGGTTTTATATAGCCTGTTGTGTTTTATTTGAACGCACATTGAAAGACAAATAATTATGTTTTAGGTTATTTATAAATGGATAAGAGGCCAAGGTGTTTGAGGAGAACAAATTCATCCGACCGCCCTAAAGAATAAAGTGAGATACCCAACAAGTAGTATAGAAAATGAGAGCATTTTTATATACTTAATGTAATTATGATAGCATTTATTTTAAATTAAGCATGTAGTTTGTTACTGGTGCAATTGAGATAATTACATGCTATTTGAACTCTTTAATAAACACTACCTGCTGAACTGGGATACTACAAAAAGATAAATCATATGTAAGTTATGAACATCATAATGTTTATGAAAAGTAAATGTGACAAGTCATGTATGGGGATAGACCGGCACAAGTATAGGCGAAATACTTGACAAGGTAAGTTTTAGGAAAGCCATATAAAACGTAACCTGCTCTCTCTTACTTTAAAAGTTGGAAATTCAGACTCAATCTTGATTGAGAGGGCTATCCTCAATTCTAAAAGTTCGGAATACCGACTCAACTTTGAATTAGATAGTTATAAGGGTGCAAAAGCCTATAGCTATCATTTGACTAGCCTAAAGTATTGGAAAGTAACTAAATAGAAAATATGGAAAGAAACAAACAAATAAAGTAATTTGCATTATTATGCATTGATTCATTATAGCATATAATTCTTATAGAAATTTCTAGATTTTTACAAATTTACTGCAAAAGTTATGTTTTTTATTTCTTATACTATGCTTGTGTATTTCATTGAGCTTTAGCTCATTAACAGTAATTGTACTTTAGATAAGAGGAAGGAGCCAGTAGGGCTCTAGACAGGAGGTTGACTGCACATATGTATAAATACATTTTGGGTATACATAGAGATCAGAGTAGGAAGCTGTATAGACAAGCCTTTGAGTATGTAAATGTTATTTAAGTTTATTAAGCTATGCATTTCATTCCATAGGTTTAAATATGCTTCCAAGGTTGAAATATTTGGATGGAATTCTTAAGATTTGAAAAGAACTTGATGTGTTGAGATAGTCTAGATAGGTTATTTCTTACTCTATTCTGATAAAAGTATTGCAGGATGGGTGTTAGTGAGAGATATATCTATTCATATTCTCCTTCTCTATTACATTGGGTCAAAATGGGGTGCGACATTTTGTATGTTTGAATTTATATTAAATTTGTTTATTTCACTGAGTGTGCAGCTCATTTGATGTTATATTATGATTTCAGGAAAATGAAAGTAATGCAACAAGTAAGAATTATGTTTTTTTTTTTTCTTTATAAAACTATACTAGTTTTATGAGTATAGTTTTATGATTTTAGATGTTGATGTTGTACACGAAATATTGTGAGCATGTATGAATCTTATTTTGGATGATTGATTAGAAGCTGTGTATTTAATACATATGCAAGTTCGAATAACAGGGTTAGATTAATTTTTTTATTCAAATGAATTAAATTAGGATGAATGTAATGAGAATATTGTTTGTCTGCTTATGCTACACCTCATGATTCGGATATATAAATTTTCTTTGAAAGTATTAGAAGCTTAAAAATTTATTTTGATGGTTTAAATTATGCACGTTCCATATTCATGAATATTATGAATCTATTAAAGGATGAAATATGTGTTGTAACGATCAAGTTAGACTATTGTTTACACCCTCAATAATGTTTAGTAAACTCATGATGCGTGTTGGTGGGAAATGAGCCAGCTTAGATTATCCGTCTCTATTATATGCCTTATGTGTGACTAGAAGGGGGTAAAAATGAGGCATACAAATCACGAGGTCAAATCTATAAACAAGAACCTCTACATATGGGCATGAAGTGGACAAGATCTATAATGCACTGAATGTTCAAATAAACACAAATGATATGCAAATATTGTAAAGTTGATATCTAACTAAGTGGACAGAATTTATAGGTTCAAAGCAACAAATATCAATCATGTAAATGACCCTATGATAAATGTGATTATTGCACATTATAACAAGAGGATTTATTTTCAAAAGGAAAGCATTCAAATTGAAAAAAAAAATGATGCAAATATTCATACCCATATGATCTGTATAGCTAATTATACATCATACCTGGAGATGATGGGTCCACTGTAAAAGTCAAGCATTCAAATTGCAAATGCGAAAGATTAAATAACACCTCACAAGGATGGTCGTGTGATAGGGAATCTCATCTGCAGGGCATCTCCATTTTGAAAATGCCCTCAAATCCCAAAACGAATTATTTCGGGCTTAAATAAAGATAAAAATATGAGAAATTTTTAAAAAATACAAATATTAAAAATATTTAAGTAATAATTAACCTTTCTAAGCATAGAACACTCAACCATCCAATCCATCCATCTTACGCAATAATTTGTCAATCGCAGCATATTTAAGATAATATGAGTGTATCAAGAGAAAATGTTCTATGAGCATATCTCTATAGTCACAATAAAAAAATTGGCACATGTAGGAACGTAACATGTATTCTTTAAACCGATGATTTTGATAGAAAATGATGCTACTAAATTACAGTTATAATTAGGGCCCACTAACCAATGTTGCAAATTAGTATCATTAAATTATAATCAATGTCAAAGCTCAGAAATACTCTAATTGCTCAATCTCCTACCAAGGCTTGCCTTGTTAGGTCTTACGCCTTTCCCTACACAAATCATCATTTGCTAGTCTATCCCTCATAACATTACTTCACACGAACTTTTATTATCAATGATATTTCCTTTCTTTGTAGTATCTCATTGAGCAAGAATGCATAATTGATAACAGTCAAATTATCAAAGCAGATATCAAGAATAAAAAGTGATAGGAAACAATTATCATAAATATGAGACATCATACATATAAAACAAATATTTTATGAACAGAGAATTATAAACATGGAATTTTCATTATTACTGAAATTATTATCATATGTTCAATTTGTAGAAATTATATAAACAATAGACATACTGATTTCTTGTTTCCTATACCAGAGATTGAGCATCTCATTGAAACAATTGGGTTCTATCCCCAACCTGCTTCTTCATCTTTCCTAGTAAGTCCCGATCTTGCATAAACTACCTAATAATGATGATTAACTTGATTTATAATGCTTTCTGAATGCCACTTTTTCTTAAACAACTCATTACCTCAAAATGTTTTTCCTTCATTCAAGTCACTTATCCCCACAACAAAAGTTGAATACGATTGAAACTTCCTTACCTAGCCTCTCCTTCACTTCTTCCTTCCTTTTCTTTCTCTTATCTTTTTTTTTTTCCTTTATATTCTCTATTTTTATCCCCTCGTGCACCTTAAAATTACGCTATTTGCAACAGTACCTACAGCTGCTATAGTGCCGCCAGCAACCCCTTCGCTCACTGCCCGCTGCTTCTTCCTTCTTCTCCTCAGGTAACGGAGAAAGAATAATATAGATTGAATTTAATGAAGGCTTAAGGGTTATATGTGTTTTTATATAAAATTTAGTTAATTTTCCTAATAAGTCCACCGCCACAAGTAAAGCACAGTAAATTAATTAATGCACAGTAAAATTAAAAAATAAGCTTTAAGAAAATTTAATTATATGCATAAATTGATTTGTGCTGATTATTTCTATATGCTCCAACACATCAAAATGATCGAAATAAAGTGTAGACAGAAATAAAAATAATTTCACTGAATTTTGAGATCTGTAAAAAATTGGGGCATAATTTTGGAGAAATTAAGTTAATCTTTTTTAAAAATTTAGGGTAGTATAGTGATTAAGTCGATCATAGTTAACAATAATCGAGGATGATGGAATTATGTGATCTATATCAGATTTGGCATAATTCCTGCTATCATCTACTCTAAGCTAACTGCAGTAAACCTTATCAATATAAAAAAAATCAGTACTGCAATAAACTATAAGAATTTAGTGCCTATAGAGTGGCCTTAATCAAAAGTTTTCTTTTGTGAGCTGAAGAGATAATTAACTATAGTAGCTACATTCATGAGAAATCTCGGATAAGATAAAGTTCTCATTACATAAGAGTAAAATATATGGTTAGTATTCTATTTAAATCTAATATGTCTTCAAATCTGGACCAAGCTCTCATAAAAGATTCAAGCATAAATTTCAAATCCCACAATAGCCAGAGAGAGATTAGAGAAGATAGTGGTAGAGGGGCATGGACTTAATGATTGTGAGAAGTGGAGCGAATGAATTTTTCAGCATGGTTAAGGTTTTCATTTCTAGCTTCTCTAGGCTTTAACCATTATAAATAAATGATTGATTTGTTCAATTGATTGATTAATGGATGAAAATATATTATCTAAGTAAAAAGTTGTTAATTTAGCAGTGAACAAAATCATTAAAATATTCCAAATACAATAGGTCTTTTAAGCGATGATACTTTGTCAATAAAAGAGTAAATGGTCTAACTGAAGTTAATTTAGCAGTAAACAGCTAGTCGAAAAAAACTAAATGACCTTACCTCCGCTAATTGTATATATAAATAGTTAGGACCAATTGAACCAGCGGTATTAATCAGGACCAAAGACTTGGCCAAGGAAGGCCAAAAAGCACCTGCAGCAGCTATAAAATAGCCTGAAATTGAGCAAAGAATATTTTTTAAAACCATAAATTTGGCAAACACTGATTTGAGAAAGAACTACAATATTGAGGAAAATGGAGTAATACCCCCAATAGAGTTTCCAACAAGATGAACTGGTTCTCTGACAACATCAACAATAAAGTCTCTCAGTAATTCTGCCCAGATGGGTTCGTTATACAAAATATTTGGCTTCTCAGACCTCCCAAAACCTAAAAGTGTAATTCCCCAAACTCGATGTCCACTCTCGGCCATAGCAGAGATATTTTCACGGAAATGCTCTAGAAAAGCTCCAAAACCATGGGAAAAAAGTACTGGGGGCCCCTTCTGACCAGCTACTGTATACTGGAAAGAAAATCCCAAGTCATACTGATGAAACAATAAAAAACAATGTAGAAAAAAATCAAGAAAACGAATGAATCAAATCCGCTTGATTTTTCCTTTTGTAAAATTTTCTACCAATCCACATTATTTATACAAGGAGGAAATCATTAAAAAGGAAAGGCATTACTCCTAATCAAATACAAAGAAAGACAAATATTCATACACTAATATGCATTTCTAATGTTGTAAAGCTACGAGGAATTATTTATATACCAAATTTCAGATTTTATAAAAATGAAAAATGCATGCAATAAAATATAATTCCCTAAAATTTTGATCACTTGGATGGCCACCATAGATTGCCACCAAGGTTCTTTAGATTATCGCTGGTTTCCGCAGTATTAAATTTCTTCATTAAAAAGGCACTAACATGGAATTTGTGCATTATCCTTCCACTTATATGTAATATAAACAAGAGCACAAATTACATTCGATCAAACTTTACTAAATTTTGAAGAATCAAAGTGTCACGACCCGGCCCGGTTAGCTCGCAAATGCGAGGCGGGAACAGAGATCGGGCATAAAGAAGATAAAAGAAACTTTACAAGACAAATAACATAACTCCAAAATGAAGCATCAACATAAAGAAAGAGCCACTAAAATCTCCAAACATAAACTTTTTCTTTTCTTTCATTCAAAATAATCACCAATAGATGGATTTAGCATTAAGTTTACAAAAAGATACAAAAGGGGATCCACAAGTGTAACTTTTTTTTTTCTCTTACATTCCATTTCTAATCTTTCTATACAAAAAATCAAAATACAAAGGAACCTTCCGCCTGTCGTCTCCCTACGACGGTAGATGCGCGGTGGTTGGTTGGCCATTTACCCCTTCCTAGATCCTCCTGAAAAGTATTCCCACAACGAGGGTGAGTCTTATACTCAATAGGTAAGAATGGAGATTCAAATAAACTTAGAATCAAGTGAGAAAACTATAACATGCTTTGAGTATTTTAGCAAAAGAATCATCGATCATAAAACAAGTTGTGCTCAAAGAAAAGCATACCGCCCGGTTAGCTCGCAAATGCGAGGCGGGAACAGAGATCGGACATAAAGAAGATAAAAGAAACTTTACAAGACAAATAACATAGCTCCAAAATGAAGTATCAACATAAAGAAAGAGCCACTAAAATCTCCAAACATAAACTTTTTCTTTTCTTTCATTCAAAATAATCACCAATAGATGGATTTAGCATTAAGTTTACAAAAACATGTAACATGTGTATGAAACATTCATAATAGTTTAATATGCATATAACTATAACACCCGTCTCAGGAGTATCACTTGTACTGATCAGGTACATATAAATTGGCCATTTCCTTTTCCATTGGTTCATAGGAACCATCCTTTTTCATGGCTCATAAGAGCCTCCTTTTCCATGTGATACTCCCGCGTCAACATGCACATACATTTATTACTTATATAACTATAAGGGATGCTTTAAATAAACCATTCATAAACTAAACAAGTGTATGTTTCCATATGAATGTGTATGCTTGCTATGCTTATGAGTTCATTGCATGTAGAGAGGAAAACATGTGTAGAACAAGTAAAGAAAAGAGCATGGGGATCATTCATGAGTTGTCCATTTGCATAGAGTGAAACCTTTGCATTTGCCTCAAATATCCATAAATTTACAAGGTAATATGAGTCATAAGAGTGCCATAATGAGCATAAAAGAAATTGCCATTTCTATATAATTGCGTGAAAGTAAAGATTTCTAAATTTAGAAGAATATCCATTCCACCTACCTCAATCCGTGGACCCCTTTCGTTTGTCTGAACAAGTCCTTTCCTTCCACACAGTTAAAATCTAAAAGAGGCATATAACAAATGCATAAGTAACTGTTTCCCCTCACAATTTTCTAAATCTTTAAACGAAAGTAAAATGCAGAATTCAACCTAATGTCTTGTATAAGCTTCTATTCAAACCCTACCCACAATTCATGATATCTATTCACTTCCATTCACTCTCAATTATCGTTTAGTTAAAATCATGGATCTTATATAAGCAAACATTCTTCCTACAATCAAACATTAATTAAAACATCTTTGGCTTTCTTGGATTAAAGAAATCTACAATTATGAAAACTTGCATTTCAAGTAAAATCCATAAATCAATGTCAAAAATCTTTCTAAAAGTCTTTTTTTTAGAACTATAGGAATCAAAATTTCTTCATTAGGGAGAAACCCTAAATTCCTAAACTCAACATTTAGCTTAAACCTTACAATGTCTTTACATAAAAGCTTTCTCAAGTTATTAGAAACAACATTTGTGAAGACATTTACAAAGAAGATCAATTTTTAAGTAAACCCTAATTCCAAAATTTGCATTTTCTTACAAAAGCACTACACATTAAGGTTTAGAAACTTCCCTTAACCCTTCCTTAATCTTTTCTCAAAGAAAAAACCAAGTTTTCTCAAAACCCTAGAAATCTTCTCATCCAAAAACCTTGAGAAGGAGAGGGAAAACCCTAGTTCTATAGCATACCTTTCACTTCCCTTAGTCTCCCCTACTTTTTTCCCCAAGATTGGCCGCCGGAAACCGCCGCCGGAGCAACCCGTCCGCCTCTCCCGTCCGCCTACCCGTCCGCCTCTCCCTTCTCGTGATTTCGGGCGGAAGAATGAAATGGGGACCGAATTCTCGAATAGAATTCGGTCCCCTTAAGAGAAAGGAACTTCCAAAAGGTCAATTTTGCCCTCACTTAAGTAGATTTGGCTTAAGAAAGACTTAGGGGTAGAATTGACATTTAGAAACTTCCAAAATTCATAATTCTCAAAATACACATAATTAAATATAGGTTCTATACATCAAAACGATTAGAATTTTACGCTCTAATTTCTAAAATTATTCCCGTCAAAAAGCCGACAACCTCGAATTTTCACTTAAATCTCATCGTGGCGCTTTGAAAAGCGTGCGAAGTCTTAAAAGGCATTTTTGGGTTTTACACAAAGCCAGTTTTAAAATTTTAGAAATTGATTATTTAATGACTATAGGAAAAAGCTGAATACTGGTTGAAATTCTTACAGCTAAATTGGTGGAAATTTCTGGTGGTCGAGCCTCCGAATTTCCAACGATGATTATGTGCCATGTCATTTTTTCCTTTCGAATTGACCATCGGAGAGAAATCGGGACCAGCTCAAATTGGGTAGACTAGGTCTAAGTCAGTCTGTAATTTTCTTTTTTCCTTTCTTGAGTCAATTGTAACCATTTAAGTGTTCTGATGCTAAGTAACCCTACACACACACTTGAGTGATTTTTTCTATCTGACTTAGAATTTCTGTTTTTACTCACATCATCCCGGACGATATTATTATCGTCTTGGACGATAAGGTTTGAAACAGAAACCCTAATCAGTCATCATAGTTAAGGCAGCCGTCATTAACCGATCGGCCTGGACGATACATGTATCGGCCAGGACGATAGGCTTAAAACAGAAAGAATCAGCCGCCATGATCTATTTAGGCATTCTTTATTTTTTGCAATCGGCCATGACGATCTTGTATCGTCCGGGACGATTTCATACAATTGTGCCTAAATTAATCTGGTAATTAAGGAAAGCAATTAAGGATGATTGATACGATCACATCGTCTTGGACGATCGCAAGATCGGCCGGGACGATCAGTTCAAAAACCTTAGTTGCTTCTGGATGATCAATATCGGACAACTCAAATTCTAGGCGATGGTCTGGCCGATCAAGATTGGCCAGCTCAGATTCCGGGCAATGCTCTGGACGATTTTCCTCTGATTTGAACTAATTGTCCGGGATGATCGTGAGATCGGCCGGGGCGATCAAGCTATTTTGAAGTTGTTCAGACCTCATTTCAGAGCGATTGTCTGGCCGATATTCTATGATTTGAACTAATCGTACAAGATGATATAGTATCGTCCTGGGCGATATGAACAACTTTCCTCTATTCATCCCAGATTGTCCCGGCTGATTAGGCTTAAATTGCACTGATCGTATAAGACGATATACCTATCGTCCTGGACGATAATGTCGGCAACTTGTAATTAATGAGTTATTTTGAAGCTCTTCTATTTAAGAGCTATTGTTTAATGTTTTGAACAATCTTTTGCTGCTGTCTTGACCTGGGAAAGTCTAGAGGAGAGAGAGAGAGAGGGAGAGAGAGAGAGAGGATATTGTGAGGGGGAGCTTGTGAGGGGATTCACAAGGATTGCTCCAAGCATTGTTCCACTTCTTCTTCCACTAGAGTCTCTTATCCTTGGAAGGGTTGGGAGAGGTAAGCTTTAGCGATCGATCGAGGTTCTTTGCCTGCTTCAGGAGGAAGTAAAAGGAGTTGGGTTCTCTGCCTTGCCGGGGGTGGCAAAAAGGAGGTGTTTGTAAGGGCTTCTCCGCCTAGCTGTGGAGGCTGAAGGAGAGTCACGATTGTAGTGCAATACTCGGAGGGCGCCTCGGGAGTGGACGTAGGTCGAGTTGACCGAACCACTATAAACCCTTATGTTCTTTTTATTGCTTCCGCATTTAATTTTCCGCACTCTATTTTTCTGTGGTGATTTTGGTTTGAGCTTTGTTGTGCTTTGGTTTAAAAGATTTTTTTAAAAATACCAATTCACCCCCCTCTTGATCAGCCTTGAGCTAGTTCATAAGGGCCTAACATCTCTAATGAACTTTCAAGTGGTATTAGAGACAGGTTCATAAAAACTGAGTTTGAAAACTTTTTGAATTTTGATCCATGACTAACTTTGGGAATTGTAACACAACTGAAGGATATTCTATTACACGACCACCCTTGTTTGACAATCTACCTTTTGATTTTTGGAAAACTCGCATGTCTACTTTTTTACAATCTACTGATTATCACTTGTGGATGCTTATTAAAGAAGGATATTCTCCACCTTCTCGTGAATTTAATGGAACTAAAATTGAAGTGTCTTTTACTGAATGGACTTTTGATGAAAGAGATTTAATTCAACTTAATGTGAAGTGTTTAAACT